AGCTGGCCAAGAGCTCTCTGGCACATCTTTTCTTTGGCAGAAGATGTCAATTTGTCAAAGCTGAAACCTACATGCTAAGGGCTGGTTTCTGTAACTTTGTTTTTTTCTGTTCCCGTTTTCTTTTCTTTAAGACATTCTGGAATAGTCAAACACTCTGCACTGATATTCGTAGCACTAAAAAAAAAAAAAAAATGCTGTTTTCTCCCCCCAAAAACCTTTTTGCTAAGAAGTAGAAGTTAATGAGGGCAGAAATACAGATTCAAAAAATAAAAATCAAAAAGCACCAAAATACAAGAAACGCAGACTGGTGCAGAAGAGGGCAACTGGTCATGTAGGAGCTGTGATTCCCGGAGATGTTTTGTGCACCTGACTCCCATTTATGGGTGTCCTGGTTTCGGCTGGGATAGGGTTAAATTTCTTCTGTGTTTTGGATTTAGTATGAGGAGAATGTTGATAACACACTGATGTTTTCAGTTGTTGCTAAGTGCCCTCCTAGTCCAAGGACAGCTCCCATGCCTACTGACTGAGCTAGGTACACAAGATGGGAGGGAACATAATCAGGACAGCCAGCTCAGCTGGCCAATGGGGTATTCCATACCATGTGATGTCATGCTCAGTATATGAATGGTAGGCGTGATCCAGGAAGTACCAATCGCTACCTGGTTATCGGTCAGCGCGGGTGGTGAGCAATTGCATTGTGCATCACTTATTTTGTATATTTTATCATTATCATTATTATTCTCCCTTTTCTGTTTTATTAAACTGTCTTTATCTCAACTCACGAGTTTTTCTCACTCTTACCCTTCCGATTCTCTCCCCGTCCCACTGGGCGGGGGGGGGAGGGAGGGAGCGGCTGTGTGGTATTTGGCTGCCTGCCAGGTTAAACCACGACAATGGGACTTAAACGCTTTCAGGGCTGGTGTCTGTCAACAGCCACACACCTTCGTCAGGTTCCCTCGCATGTCTCAGCCCTCCCAGCCTGCTGGTACAGACATGACTGCTGTCACTCAGTCTGAATACAGACTTAAAACCTGCTCTTCCAGCTTCAGTATCCACTTTTTCTGCTGCTTCTATCTTGTAATGATCAATCAGCGTGTTAACCAGGTGTCGTATAGCAGCTTCACGGCCCCTGTGATCAGTTCTATAGGGAAACATGCTGCTGAGGGTCACCAAAAGAATGAGCCTTGATTTGACCTGCTCTGTAAGCTGCATTACAGCTACCACCAAGTATTTGTGCAGCCTTTTCCTTAAATCTTCTACTACAGATCGTGGACAACATAGTTACAAAAAGGGCTTACCTAAAAGGCAGGTCCAAATCTGCCTGGCAACAAAAAGGGTCTTGAGAAAAATGTGATTTTGTGATAATACAAAAATCTGTATCTATGTAAAACTTTCTTCAGTCTTTCAAGATGATGTTTCATTGTTGTCCTACCTCCACAGCAGACCCCTTTCCACCAGTTGTTACTAACACTTCAAACTACATTTGACAGATGACATTGGAAGCTCAATGCCAAGTGGTTAGATGGTGTACCCACCTAAAGTGAAAGTATCAGATCCAAATTCTGTGCCCTTATTACAGACAGAAACATCTGGTTTAAAACACTCCAAACCTATGAACTGTTTCTAAGGAGAGCTAGAAGCTGAACCTGATATCAAATGGATTTTTGTGGAGCTCAAAGGTCAGCGTCAGTTCTTCAATGCCAACAATTTAGAAAAGAGCAGCTGCTGGGCTTGTGCTGGGGTTTGTTCTCTGCAGCTCTCAAGTAACAAGTTCTCCTTCAGACAATTGCACTTTTGCCATAGGGGGGCTCCTATTTTGCAGTTGGACCATCTGTATTTGTAGAGAATAATTTTATCCGCGGACTTCATTCTCTCACCATCTGTGTCATCAAATAGTACCAGTGTGGGTACTGTGATGTCAAGGAGTAGGAGCTCAGCAAAGTTGAAGCTACAAGACAGGTACAATGCTGATGCTAGAGGAGCAAGAAGCTGCACTGATCAGGCTCTGCCAGTGCGAGAGTGATTTTTCTTTCCATGGGAATGAATGATTGGGTGGCTTTCTGTTGTTCTCTCTTATAAAATTAGTCATTCATTAAAATCTCCATTTTCAGAGTGAGTTGAAAAACTTCCAAGTTCTCAGGGGAGACATGGATGCTGTTTTCTTTATTTTGCTTCCTGTGATGTCAGAAGGCAACACTGGCTGGTCAATACAATTGAGAAGGAATTGGTCCCAGGACAGCAGCCCTTCCCAGCACAACAGTGATCCTGCTTCTGTAATCCAATAAGGACTTCCCAACTGTTTCAATATCCCTTAAGAACCAATTCCCACAAACCTAATTCCCCAACTCATTATTGCTCAAAGTACTTGACTATCATTATTTCTGGTTCCAATCAAGGGCCAGTAATGAACTGCATACATAAAAGCCACCTAGGTGATCATATCAAGTGTTTGTCTTGGAGAACATGTCTATGAGTTGATATTAGACAGCAAATTCAGTGGATGGAAGGGGAGCTCTACTCCACGTGAGCTGAGGAGTTGTTCAATGGACAGCAAAATACAGAAGCAAACCTAACAGTTGCCTTTTGTCTGCTCAAAAGCAAATGGGAAACCTAAGTATAACTGTCCTGTGGGTCGGATACAGCCTCCAAATAATGAGTTTGATTAACTGGGGTAAAATTACTCTGACTGCCTCTTGAGATCTGCTCTGTCCTCTCTTTTATTATTAATGCAATGATCCACAAATCCTGGGACACTTTTCTAAATTGAGTTGTCTGTGTCATTCCAGATCCTGTGCAACTGATCTACAAACACTCCTGAAACCGTTCACAAGGTATTTGTCATCAAAAGCCTTGCAGGAAAGATCTTGCCAAATAAACTACCATATGGCAAATATTTGCTATGATCCACCTATGACTGAAATGACAGGAGAGTCCTTTGTGGGACTCTTACCCATTGACTCCTGCTGTGATGAGTTTGGATACTGATTTTACCACTATCTGGACAGGTCAGAGTTTCAGCCTTATGAAAATGGTTTGTCCAACCTTGTAAAAAATAGTTTGTCCAGAGGGTGATTTCATTTCAGGTGGATGTCCGCTGACCATAAAAGAGGTTTTTTTGACTAGAGGAGTCTTGTCTGTCAATGTAGGGGACACTGGTCTAGCCCCTCAGGCTGCTCTCCCTCTTCCTCATTTTACATGAAGCTCCAGCCCTTGGAAGGAGATGGGAACACAAAGTGAGATACAGAGACAGGTTCTGGAGCTGAAGCAGCTTGGGTGGCAATTAAGTTCCATTGCTTTGTTGTCACTCCATGTGCCTAACCGAGACACCAAATGCAGAAACTGGGGAGAAATGGTACTGCCTGCCTCAAACACCCACTGGATGTTTGCAAGTTTGTCCTGAGAGTGAAGTGCCACCAAGGCACAACTCCAACTCCTAGTGGGGCCTCACTGCTTGGATTGCTCAGAAGGTCTATGACTATAAAAACAAAGGAAGAAAGAGCTCTGATGTCTGTGTTGAATCAGTCTTGCCGATACTGCTTTATTCCAAACCAAGCACAACACAGAACCAGAATATTTACATGTGCAAAGTTTTATCAGTTTTGTGACTACACCAGAGAAAATCCCAGATGACTGACTTACCCTGAGGAGACCCAACACTGGCACCAGACAGCCTGTCCTAATGGCCACTGCTGTGACTGCTGAGTTTGCCCCACGCAGTTTGCATCAAAACCTGCTAGCAGCCAGCTGAATTAAGCTCCTCTCTAAGCTCAATGGGGGAACCTGTCTGCTCTGTGCCGCCAGAGACAGTCACACTTGGCAGGTGTCGCTGGAAAACCAGTTAGCCCAATCACGAAAATCGTTCTTTCATATAAATCTAATTTCTGCAGCTCTTCTGATTTAACCTTCAGTGTCTGCTGAGACCTCTCACTGATTGCTCTGACCACCAGAGAAGATGTGAATGGATGAAATAAAAATACTTCAAGCCCACAGTACTCATCTGCTAGCACTGAAGCAACAGACATGGAAGCTGACATTGCTAACATCCTTTACAAGATCTAACCACCATTGTAGAAAAGAACCCTTCACTTTGCATTACTGAATACAATATGTCTCAAAAAGCTGCATATTTTCTTCTTCACCATCTCAAAGGCAGATGCCAGTATTACAGCCATCTGTATTAAAAGCTCTTGAAGAATTCAACATTGTCTACCTTAGAGGGAGCTTGCAAAAAAAGCAAAAATTACTTCGAAAATGTCAATGGCATTTAGTTTAAATCCAAAATCAGGCCTGTAGGCTCAGATCAGGACTCAAAGCTTTGTCTTAATCTAATTTTATCCAAACAATTCAGTGATAATAAACATTTATAAAATCCACATCAAGGAAATCAGAGGGGTTCCCAAGACCTGTAATAAGAGCTGGCATCACTGACTCTGCATATTAGCAAACCCAAGCACTCACTGAATAAGCGGCTCCAGAGAACACTTGACAGAGCTCCCTTAGCCCCCTAAAAGGCTCTGAAACATTTTGCCGAGTTGTGATAAGAGCTTCAAACATTTATGTGTTTTGGGGTACATAAAGGAATCGGCACCACTGCAGATGGCCTCTTCCTTTCCTACGGTGGTATGCATGTTTTCATTGCTTATTCAAATACATGGTAAGTTTTGAGCTGTAACAAGAGAACTAGTCTAACAGCTCTTAAGAACAAAGCTCTTTATTTATTCATGAAGGAAATAAAAGCACGAGAAAGTGTAGCACAACCTTCCCTCATAGGACTCCTTACAACTACACACTCCTACAGAAGGCTCAAAGAGCAAGAAAACCAAAATGACAATGCCCAATAAAAGCAATAGATAGCAGCAAGAAACAGTTAGAAGGTCGCTGCTTTGACACACAGATGACACCTTGTCCCATCTCTCACTAGATAAGAACGATACACTGCCCTCGCTAAGGTGATCAGGTAACCTGGGAGAACAGCAGGACTGTTTCCAAAGACACCATACCTGAAGGATGACCCAGTGACCCTCCTTCGCAGCCAGATCTAGAGCTTGTTCAGCAACTACCTCTTGACCTTGTCCAAGGGAAACATTGTGGAAATTCTTGTTGTTAAATGTATAACCAAGTTTCTTCCCTGAAAGAAAAAAAAGAGCAATCTTCAGCACTTTTACCTGAATGGCACGCAGCATAGCTGAGCTCACACAGCAGCAGTGAGGCAGAGTTCAGTCTTATCAAAAACCCTCACAGAAGAGCTATCACACTTCTTATAAGAGTTATCTTGTCTCTCACACACTCCTTGCCAAAGCACTGAAAACAGCAGTGGCTTCCTCCAAACGACTTTTAATTACAGAGCAGCATCAACACAAAGGTACATTATTACAAAGTGCCTCTTGTTTAAAGAACATTATTCCCCTGCAACCTTGTGTAAAAACATATTTTACAGTGATAGGAAATTAAAATCATTTCC